TGGTGTTGTAGGCATCCGAAGCCCGACTCTGGGCGTGGTGTTGTAGGCCTCCGAAGCCCGACTCTGGGCGTGGTGCTGTGGGCCTCCGAAGCCCAACTCTGGGCGCTTCCATAGCGGATGGGGGGGGGGGGGGGCATAGTGTGGTGCCCAGCTACATGTCTAGGAAACCAGAGGTGTTAGGTTCGATTCCCCACGGTGCCCGCCTGTCCTGCCAGGGTGAGAGGCAGACATCATATAGCCTTAGCAGTAGCTAAGCGTGCCATGAAGCCCCAATGACTACATGGCGTATGTGCGCTAGCGGCGTTTTGTCCATGAGATCTCGGCAGCGCCAGTGTTGACAATTTTATTGCTGACCTAACATGCGACCCGACATGCCACCCAGCGTGACCTGTGACCGGTCCGGCAGCCGGAGGAGGCGCAGCAGGAGGGCGAGACGTACGCCCAGTTCGAGGACCGCGTCAACAAACGCGTGGCCGTCATGTACCGCGTCATCAAGACCAAGTTCGAGCTGACCGACCTGGTCCGGTGCAGCAACCGCAAACAGGTGGGCGCGGCGGCGCATGAAGGCCACCACGGAGACGGGGATACGCCGGCGGCGCACGTGGGCCGTCGCCGAGACGGAGACACGCCATCGGCGCGCGTGGGCCGTTGCCGAGACACAGACACGCCGACAGCGCGCGTGAGCCGTCGCCGAGACGCAGACACGCCACCGCGTGAGGGCCGTCGCCGAGACGGAGACGCCTGCGGCGAGCGAGGGCCGTCGCTGAGACGGGGACGGCGGCGCAGCATGGAACTGGCGGCCACCGGGCCGTACTTGTCAGCTGATTGCAGGGGCGTCTGCGGTTTTCGCCGCGGGTTGGCGGCTCAACGCGTTTGCCAGTCAAGAATATGGCCACAGATTTGTTTGCTGCGTCGAAGGGATGCGTGTCTGCATTCAGATTTTACCATGAATCCCTGTGCCCTCACGGCCACGTTGTTCAGCACACGGGCTTGTTTGGGAAACTCAAAGTTGTTTGAAAGTTGTAGTGTAAGTAGCAAAAACCGCAGTGTGTCTCAATATGTCAGCCAGTACTTCGTGCGCAGCTGCAATTTAACGCCGAAAGAACCGCACCCCTTTACTGGCGGAGTAAACACATATGTATCTTTTCACTTCCTATCTGTCCCTACTTTGCCAGCACTCCAGGTATTCAGCCACAATAATTTCTGCGTTTATCTGTTTGCTTTGCAACCTCCAAAGGCACGACTTTTGAAGCCAACCAGCGTGCCGTCGGAACCAAAGTGATGTGTGATGCTGAGGTCTCGACTTTTCCGCGCTGCTACAGGTGGCGGAGAAGTTCTACACGGCGCTGGCACTGAAGAAGCTGCAGATGCTGGAGCTGGTGCAGGAGTCGGCCTACAGCGACATCGTGATGACGCGCGGCCCCGGCTTCTCCAGCGTCCAGCTGTGAGCAGCTGCCGTGGCGCAGCAGCGGCTGTGAGCAGCTGCCGACGACAGCCGCGCCGCGACCAGTACAAACAGACACGGTCGTCCGCCGTCCGCGGCGCATCCGGACGCCACGAGCCAGCGGCGACGCCCGCGCGGCGGCCAGGACCCGCGCCTCCGGGGGACTACAGCGGGAGGGTGTATGCCAGCGGCGCAGACGAATCATCTGGATCACGTGTCATGGACGGACGGTCACTGCGCCGCCGCCGGTGGGCCTGCGGTGCCGCCCGCCTGCCCTCGCACCTTACTGAAGGTGTAAATCGCTCGCAGTGTAGCTTTCCGTGCCCGGCGCATCGCCTTGCCATTAGACGTTTGTAACACCGGATGGGTGTGTGGCGCCCTGCCGAAGGGCCTGACCCGCGCGCTTCTTTCGTGTTGCCGTGTTGGGCCGCGGGCTCACTCGGCTCTCGCGCTGTCGGTCCATCGCGCACTCCTCTGGCAGGTGGCATGTCGCGACGGTGCGCGCGGACAGTGCGCCGAGCCGACCTGGGGCACGCCGCGCCGCTGGAAGACCAAGGAGACAGCGCTGGGCGCTGGGCGCTTCGCCGGCCCCAAACGATCCGATCGCGACTCGCTCCCGATTGTTCCGCGCGATCCGCCGCGGTCACGGCCGTACGGTGGATGTGGCGCTGCCTGGCGGCACTAGCTGACGCGACCGCCCGGGCCTGGCTGCCGTGTCCGGGGCGGCGGGAGGCCCGCCTGCAATGTCGGGGTCATCACCCGTCGGATGACCGATCTCACGGCGTCCACGCATGCGCGTGTCAGACTGCATGCGATCACCGGCGCGCGGTGGGTGGTGTCCGTACGCCTTATGCAGGAGCAACATAGATAATAGACGATAGAAACAAGCGGCGTTCTTTTCATGGTGCTGATAACTAGGCAACGTTAGTGTATTGAGGCACGAGAAATTATCCCGATTCCTGGCGTACGAATTCGCCCATCGATTTATATCCTTTTGCGCGGGCGGTTATCCTGCCCACATTTAACAATGCCCCCGGCTCATAATCTTAACAGTTCATGTCCACAATCAGTTCCGCACGCGTCCGCCAGGGTGCTTCGCCCTCATGGGAAACGGAGCGCTGAGCGTCGCGATACTCATTTCTTCCTCTTTGGTCTGAAGCCCAGCACTATTGGCGCAAAGCAAATCGTCGCAGTCGGCCCGACTCCCGAGGACCGGCTCTGAATAAACCTGACTGAAAGGGACCGATTCTGAATACGAGGTCTGACACAAAACTGATTGAGATAAAGGAACCTGTGCAAAGGCCCGACTGAAACCCATCCGGCAGGAAAAAGCCCGATCCTGCACGAAACCGACAGCCGTGACTGCATCTGTACGGGACAGGCATACAAATAGTAACAAGGGTGCCTTTTCCGCCACACTTGATGTTTGCCTCAAATGTTTAAGTGCGGAACAACAGCCCATTGAAGTGACTGTGAACATAACTGTGCGACTCCTCTTTTAATTCGATGATTTATGAATTAATTTCATGCACACCCTGCAGTAACTCCGGGTTCACGCAAAGCCAGGATAGCTTGCAGCCTACCATGCGTGGCAGACCAGATGTCGCATCCTTAGGTTGCTGGAAAGTGTTGGTGCTTACATTTCAGGAATAAAACCAGTCAACGCGTAAAATTGTCGACATATCCCGAATTGCTATAAAATCCCTCATTTAAGGCATTTTTCTCCGATAAGGGGAGGGCAACTTGCTTCAAACTCCCCGCAGTCGACGCTACTTCGTGGTAGGCTCGCCATCCCAGATGTAGCTTTTCTCATATTCCAATTCCTTTCCCGGAATTAATTTATATTAATGAATAGAGCCTAAGGACTTCTTGATAAATTATTCCAGCTTGCAAAACACCTGTCTTTGCAAATATGGTCCGGCGGGCTCCACCAAACGGCATTCGTAATCGTGCCATGGTCACATGGTCACAATCACACTTATCATATGTCGGGATTAACGGACTGCAAAATCCTTGAGGTTCAGCGCATGCAGCTGATGTCCATTTTGCGCTCTCGTGCTTCGGTTGCTTCAGTGTGTTCAATGCCAGTTGAACTTTGCTGTCATGTTAGGCACGATCACATTCACAGTATGTTATTATATGCACAGAATACGCCCGCTACCCATACAGCTCGGCTGATAACTTCAGAACGGTTGAGTGCTGGCGAATTCGTGCTAAAGGTCCGAGTTTTCTGGTTTTGAACTTCCCGCAAACATTATTTCCTTACAACAGCGGCATCAAATCGGTCTGATGAGGGGCCAAACCTTTTAAGGATTTTTAGCCATTTGGGCGGCACGGCCAGAACGGCGCTTCCTCTCCCCTTATCCGCTGGCGGACGGCTAGGATAGAACGAAGGCGGGAACAGGTACTCAAACGGTTCCGAATGTTCAACACACACTGCAGCATCATCTTGAGCATACTGGAATATGCGTGAAAGTCGTGTATTTCAGTATGCTCAAGTGTCGTGTCGAGTACTTGGAAGAACCGGGCTGCAATAATGACATGGCTGAGTATTGTTGGATTTGGACCGGTCGGCAGCATGGAAATGTCAGAAAATGCAGATCCAGGTCAAGGTTGGCAGGTTCGGACGTACAGAGCTGATGTGCCAGTGCTGCAACCTTATTCTGGGGGCGCACACTGTGCACTGCAGAACACAAACCCAGCACCCATCCGGCCAGCAAAAATCCATCTGCTGTCCCACATACCTACACATTAGTGCACTGAACCGCATACTCATGTGTGCGAGACAGACCACGCCAAAACACGCTGAATTTTCACGTCATTTTATAACTTCTTTGAATCATTTGACTCCCCCAATCATTCGACGTTTGAGAGTCCCCCATCCAGGGGAGCCTTTCGTCCCACTCATGGTTTACGCAAGCAGCCCACCCCGGACAGGCGACACGCCGCGTCGCGGGCGGGGTGCAGGGTCAAACAAGATTGATGACAGATAACAGTTGACAATGAATGATGACAGATGCCAATCTCTTGAAACATAGCTCTATACATGCCTCCAATCCCTTTTCCAAGTGAGCCAACACGACGTCTCCCTTTCCCCTCCACGACCTAAACCAATTTCCAAGCCTTTTTCTATCCGGAGCTCCGGGTCTGTCCCCTGAGCACCATAACCGTAAAAATTGCCACATTAAGGCACTTCTCTAGGCTATTTAGGATATTATTCTACAATTTTGTTAGCAAGTACTTAAGCATCTCACCAGTGAAATAACGTTTAAAAAGTGATCGAAGCTAAATTATTGTCACGCCGATTTATTTAAATTAAGAATTGAGATCGCCAGCCTGAAAGAACGCGTGGCCTAGTATATTTTGCTGTAAGTCCTGCTTCCCATCGTTATTTAAGACCTTTTATTTGCTACGAGTTTAAGTCTTCGATTAAATCTAAAGATTTTTTATTCATCTGTTTTTCAATGATAAAAGTTTTTGTCTTTTTGGCTCAATATTTCTCATTGTTTCTTATATCAATGTGTTAGTAAAATTTTCCAAGGAATAAAATATATTATAGCACGGCGGCGCCCGGCAGCCCCCTTTTTCCGGTGGCTGTCGTCATGGCGCCGACAACCGCGTACGTCCTCACAATCACTCGCATTAGTTGTGTATCGTCGTGTGTGTGGCGTCAAAAACGCGTTATATGTGTGACGGTGAAGTTGGAGTTGGGTACTAGTGGAATATTCTGACGAATTATTGATTCTGTCGCCGTCATGTGCATGTGTTTGTTTGCGGCGAGAACGTCTGCGCACCAAAAATTAGGTTGGGTTTGGGGTTTTGCGAACTTTCGGGTTGCAAGTCTTGTCGTCAACCTTAGGAATTTAACCTTAAGCCTATTGAGTGGGCGGATGCTTGTGATAAGAGCCCACGCCAAGGAGGGTTTGGTTTTGAGTCCTGCCATCATTGAGTACAATTTCACGTCAACAGGATGTGATTGTGAAAGTTAAACACGTGGCAATGCTCCCCATGGTTTGTCTTGCCCCTTATGTCACCTGATATGGTTAACTGAGGCTGCCACAGGTCACATGGTTTGGCATAACTGGTGGAATGATTCAAATCCAGTATCTAAGTTGTCCTGTCTGGATGCCCAGTATAGTCAGGGTCCCCCTTTGGATTCACCCACCTTTGGGAAGATGGGATCAAGACTGCAGGTTAGATGAAAGACTGCAGGTTAGATGACATGAGAAAGTGGGACAGACTGTGCTGAGCATTGCAGAGTATTCATTTTTCCCCTAAACTGTTGTGGACAGACCTTCACTGTCAAACTGTTTGGTGACCCAAAACCTGGCTGTTGATGGTAAGGGACAAGTTCAGTTGGTTAAGAGGAGTGTTGTCATACATTTGTTTCAGATTTTGACCTGAAACAGTTATCTTGAGGATCACCTAGTGCCATATATTCTGCCTTTAAAACCTGAACTCTAGATTTTAAGATATATACTTGTGCAGATGCACTGACTTTTGGAAAGAGCTTTCCAAGGTCACAGAGACATCTGTGATGCCATAGTAACATGATTGAGATCCTGCCATACCATAAGCCATGCTGCAGCTGAGGCAAAATTAAAGTTGATATCCATTCATCTAGCATTTATTTCATGATGTGTGGGAACAATTTAGGATATATCAGCTGTCAGTGGGCTCTTAGGGGCATGTTACACATTCAGAGGTAATAAAGCAAACATCAGATATGATGAAATAAGCTTATATAACTTTTGGTGTGCTTCTTAATAGAAATTATTGCTCTAGACAATGCTTTCTCCATTTAATAAATATACTCCTTCGAGGAGGCTTAGGGCTGGAAGGTACTGGGCTGATCTGGATGGGACTGAGCTAGGCTAGGAAGGATCTTTTGGACTAGATCAATCAAGGCAAGGCAGAGTGGGACCAGGCAACACTGGACAGAACCTACTGGGGTCAGATCAGGCCTTACAGGATTGGATTGGCAGTTCCAGTCCTGTCCGGTTCAGTTCTACCAGGATCTATTCCATTTGGCTTTCTTTTTGTCCTTTGTGTTGTCTAGCCTTATCTAGTCCCATCATGATTCCTCCTGTTTCTCCTGGTCATGGGCACTAGGTCTCATCCAGTTCCACCCAGTACCATCCAGCCCCATGATGGCACATCCAGTTCCACCCCATCCCATCAGGTCTTGTTTGTCCCTGTCTGCTTCTATCCAGGCCTATCTGCCACCATCATCATAATCGGTCCTGTCCTGCTTGGTCTTGTTTTGCAGCTGGGGGCTCCATTCAGTCATATGCCTTCTGTTTCCATCTGACCCAGTCCACTTCTGTCCAGCGCAGTCAGGTTTCATCCCATCCCGTCTGGTCCAGTGCCATTGCTGTTTTGCCTGTTCATGGCTGATGCCGTCTAGTCTCGTCCATTTTATCTGGTTCCATTCAGTTCCATCCAATCCTTGTTGGGTCCATTACTGTTCCGCTGGGTCTTGTGTGATGCCATCTGGTCTTGTCTGGTTATTCCAGTCCCATCGGGCCTGGCTCCATGAGGAACCCATCAGGCTGGAGTGGTCCCATCTGGCATCTTACTTCATGGTGTTCTATCTGGCTCAGTCCAGTCGACTTACATGTGGTTCTTTGTGGTCACATTCTGTCCAAATCCTTTCAGATCTTTTTGATGGTCCATTGGCCAGGGCAGCATGTGTCATGAGATGTGCCCAGTTGCCAATTTGAATTCGCGATGACCTAGATCCTGTGTGTATCACCATGTCTGGAATTTTGTTACATGTAGAGTAGTTTAAAGCAGCTCCACACAAAAAGCAAACAAAATTTCATAGAATCCAAGCAGACAACTTCATGACCCTGCTGGTAATATAGACCTAGTAACAGTGAGTCATTAATCATAGATTAATCACTTTCCAGCCAGTTTGACACCAAGGTGGGTTCAAGGCATCAAACCACCCTGCTGTCATTGGTGACTGAACAGGTCCAGTGATGCATGGTATTCTTTCCATGATGGGGATAGTTTTGAGAGCTTGCAAACAGTGTTTGTCTGGACATGATTGTAGTATCAGCTTGTTTTCAATTAGGTCAGAGTATAGGAATTTTTCATTGTGGGTCCTGTACATGTGCTGGTCTACAAGTGCTGGTGTACCCTAATGTGCTGCTGGTGTCCTGTACATGTGCTGGTGTGCCCTCCCTCCTGCAGGTGCCTTGTCACAGGTTGTGGTAGGGATGTCCTGGTCATTGTAATACAGCTCAAGTGGCCAAGCTGGTAGTCATCATACCTACCTTTAAATTCACACTGCATTGGTTTGGTGTGCTGTTGGATTGTTTTTCATCACAAGGCACTTTGTTGTATTGCTCCTGACAAATATTGTGAGTCTTGTTTCATTGTCTGTGTCAGTCATTGTGACATTTGTGTAGACAATGCTGTGTAAAAGTTTTATCCACCACATGATGGGGACATTTGATCTTGATAAAGAACTACCACTCCACTCATGGAATGGAGTGGGGGTTTTGTCAATGTAAGGTGGATGTAATCTCTTGGTCAGTTGCGTTGTTTGAATAGCTGTTATTAGTGAGCAGTTGCTTGCGCTGTTAAAGTTCATGATGCCTGCTGGACCAGCAGGATCAATATTTTAGACCATGTTGTCATTCTAATGGATGGATGAAGTAATCAAGCACCATGAGCTTGAGTGACGCAAGATAACCGTTTTTCAAGTAGCGCAGTGACCAAGGGGTAAGGACCACCTTGAATAGACAGAAACTGAAACCACTTGACAAGAAATCAAACCATCAACTTTTTATCAAAATTGCATGTCCTGATGATAAAGTGGATGAAAAAGTTTTGCAGAACATTGTAAGGACAAATATCATGCCAGCTGATTAAGACACTGGAATGGTATGTACCATCTACTATCAGAGGACAACTAGTAGCTTTGGTAATCAAAATCGACTTGACAGCATATGTAAACCAAATAAAGCACACCAAACCAGTATCACAGCAGACTTTAAATAACCCTTCAAAGGCCACTGGCTCCACAACTCTACTGTTATTGGGATAACCATGACAGCTTTATCACAGTGCATGACAATGCACCTGCAAGGGGAGTGCCAGACCAGCATATGTGCAAAACCCACAATCAAAACTCTTACACTCTGACTTAACTGAAAACACAAAGTGAGGCATGAAAGGAATATTGCTGTCATGAGGCAATTCTTTTCTTTACAGGAAGAAGTTGGCAGCTTCAAAAAAACTGCCAACTGTCACTGAGACTATTTTGAAGAGAAGGAAGTTGAGGGAGGAGAGGAAGAATGCAGGACATGCTAAAGCGATCAAGGTATGGCCGTGTGGGGAAAGGATGGCTGAGGTTGAATGTAAGGGGTGTGGATGATTTGTCTCATAGCTTTCAAGGAGATGAGCAAGTTGGGCAACACCGACTTACAGCTCCCTTTGCACCATTGGCATTGTAATGCAACATTTAGGGCCCTGGTTGTAGCTGTTTATTGGCTAAAATAAGATGTCTTGCATCCTGATTGGTCACTGCCTGCATTTGGATTCACCCATCAGGGAAGGGGTAGGCTCGAGTCACGTTTGGTACTCGCCCCTTCCTGGCAAAGCTGGCTTGCAGTTGGTGGGAGTGGCGTGCTCAGGTGATGCCCAGCACAGGATGAGTGATCCCAAGTGTTGCGGTACATCAAGATTTTGTCTCATGATAATGTTGTTGACCTAAGTTCATAAGAAGGTGGTGGGATAAGTGTGCTTGTCATGAGCACTAATGCTGATCCGAAAATCCCTCCAACATATAAGCTTGCAGTAAGTAAAGCATGGTTGTAAAGGATCATTCAGCAGCTGTCATCATGGACCTTTTCTTTCTCAGGACCGCCAGCTGCGCAAGCAGAAGAAAAAGCTGATCTTCAAACGTGCTGAGCAGTATGTGAAGGAGTACCGCGAGCGTGAGCGGGAGATCATCCGGCTGAAGCGAGAGGCCAAGAAGGAGGGCAACTTCTATGTACCGGAGGAGGCCAAGTTGGCATTTGTCGTGCGAATCCGGGGTGTGTTGGGTCTGCATCCCAAGGTCCGCAAGGTGCTGCAGCTGCTGCGTCTGCGCCAGATCAACAACGGCGTGTTTGTCAAGCTGAACAAGGTATGCGTTGGAAGATTGATGCCATAATTGTTATGGATCATTGACCCGTGGTCATTTTGACTTAACTCCATACTGAAAGCATGTCAAAGTGGAGCAGGCATTATAGAGCTGTGCATGTCTTGTAATGATGTAAAACTTCCTTACATGTCCTGGTTTCAAAGTGAAGATGTTCATTTCATAATGGAGATGCTGACCTCTTCATTGTGCCTGGCAGGCCACCATCAACATGCTGCGTATCGCCGAGCCATACATCGCCTACGGCTACCCGAGCCTGAGCACGGTGCGCCAGCTGCTGTACAAGCGGGGCTTCGTCAAGGTGAACAATCAGCGGTTGCCCATCACCAGCAACGAGCTGATCGAGAGCAAGGTCGGCAGCCGCGGCATCATCTGCATCGAAGACATCGTGCACGAGGTCTTCACCGTCGGACCCAACTTCAGGAAGGTCACCAACTTCCTGTGGCCGTTCAAGGTATGACTATTCGGGACTCGGGCATATGTTCTGTGCACTTAGCGTGTGGGATGATGTATTGGGACATTTGTCTCATTAAATGTCAAGAACTATCTGCATAGTGGTAACTGCTTCCGATGTTTTGTATTCCACTTGTCCAGCTCTTGCATTATATGCACTATCGGAATGATGACATGGGAGTCTTCATTACTAGTCCGACCACACTGCCTGTCATGGATTGAGACTGACACATGCTTCATGTCATTTCAGCTGGGCACCCCCACTGGCGGCTGGGCCCGCAAGTCGAACCACTTCGTGGAGGGCGGCGACTTCGGCAACCGGGAGGGCATGATCAATGAGCTGCTCAAGCGCATGATTTAACCTGTCCCGTCTGCCGCAAATATACGTATGCCCCCTTCAGTGGTACCAGTGTGTTTGTTGTTCATGCCACAGCTGATTTGACAAAGTGGGTTGATGATGTAATGGAATGCAGTATCGAAGCTCGTCAAAATTAGGTAAGTGGACAATTTGGTTTTAGGACTTTGCAATTGTGTGGTGCGTATCTGCACAGAGAAGCATCACTGGATGGTTTTATGACTTACATTGGGTGGACTCGTCCAGGCATCTCGTCCGTTTCTCATAGCCGCTTCAGTGGGCAACATCGTGTATCTGCAATATAGCTGATGTAGAGGTGTTGTTCTCCGCGGATGTGAACGTGTGTACGTCCGGACACGATTGTGCGGATCCTAGTCTTACCCCTGTCCTGAATTGCAGGTTTTGTTCATCCTGCTGCGCCTCCGACGTCGAAGTTTGCATGTCTGCAGCTCTGGTGAGTTCAAGAGCAGTGAGCATGTGAATGTTTTGCTTTGAAGACACTGATGACGAAACGATCCCTCTAAACCTACCATACCATGAGGAGTTCGTTTGACTGAACTTACTGTCGGATGCGTTGTGATTTTGTGGCCCTGGCATTGGCTTTATCTAACATTGACCTTCCTGTTCCAGCTGTGACCTTTTCGTCATGCACTGATGAGAATGGAACTTTTGGTTGGATCCTCTGGACCGAAATTTGCCGCGCAATCAATTGCATTTTCTAGGTGAGTATTTCTGGTTGTCTGGGGTCAACTTATTGGCTGTACGATGTGTACTGCTTTTGTTCTACTGATGATGCTGGAAGACATCACATGTTTGATACTGTGTGTAGTGCAGTAGCAGGCCGTGCATGCCCAGAAGTGTCGCTAACCGGCTTGTGCTCTCTCCAACCACAGCAGCGGAGTGTGGCGGCACGGCGGTTACAGCTGCTGTCCACTGGAATGTATCCAAGCTGACTGGTAAGTGTAATCCAGTTTTCATGTGCAGATCTGCACAGAAATGATGGGTTTACTTTCGTTCTTCCTAATTCTTATTGAAGGAAGTCTTTTCAAACTGATCACAAACATGTTCCCACATACTAGCCACTTTGGATTTGTTTTGACTATTTTGATTTTGTTTGCAGGGTTCCAGAGACTATGACTGAAGGGTGTTCACCCCTGCAGGACTCTGGATGAGAACTCCGTGAGTGGAGAGATGGATATGTTGCGCTGAGTTGTGCCTCACGGCCGCGCCCCCGGGGGAGACGGCGCAGAGCAGAGATGTGTTCACTGTCAGACAATCGAGACGACTGTCCACTGCCACGAGACACCGCTAACGTGACAGTACGCCCTCTACGTATGACGCGTGATTTGCCATTTACCTTTGCCTTGATACCCGGGAGTATCGTTAGGTCTCCCCCCCCCCCCCCCCCCCCCCTCTGGATGGTAAACCGTGGGGGACCAGGTGGCGGGTAGCCCACCACACGTAACATGTATGATGGTCATACTTTCGTTCTTCCTATTGCCAGTGATGGAAGCCTATTTGCTGACATGATGACTTAAAAAGGCAGTGTATCTTGTTTCCTGCATGCCCTTGAGTGAGCTGTTTGTTTGCAGCCCCGGTTCGGCTGTGTCCCGGCTGCGGCTCGTCCGGCGCTGCTCCGCTCGCCACCGCCAGGTGAGCGTCACCCGTCACATGCCGCGTCCTGGCCGGCGGCGGCGGCGGCGGCGGCTTCTTACCCATTCACGGCCAGGTGTCCGCCTGCCCGGCCGCGATCAGTTGAGAGCCGACAGCGACGCTCCGCCGGCGGTGGGCGGCTGGCGCCAACACGGCCCCGCCGCTCGCCGCCGCCGGCGACACACACCAGACACCGTCTGTCCGCTCGAAAGTCTCCAGATTTGCGCGAGTTTGGCCAGCGGTTGGGTGGGGAAGGTCTAGTCGGGCTAGCTTCCGAGGCAATTGCTTTCCTGGGTGACTGATACAGAGGCCGTATGCTGATGGCAGTCACAGATGTATGCAGGGACGGGCCGTCATGTATGTGCGGATGGTTGGAGGCAGTCGTGTATTGCTCCGGCGCCTCGTGTGTCACTGATCCCAGCAAGCTCCCCATTGAGAGCGTGTCACCCAGCGGTGACAACCATCTGTGGACTGGAGGGCTCACGTGCAGCGTCGATCACTGCCGCAGGACGCGAGCTGGCGTGCCCGAACACAGACGGGATGGACTCTGGAGGTGTCGAGGTTCCGAAGCGGGCCCACGTCCAGCTTGCATGGCTGCCCGGATTTCAGACACGTGGTGAGTCCCCCCACTGTGAGTGTTACCACAGTGCTTTGTTTTACTTCCCTGTGATGAGTTCAGCCTACTGTTCGCGCTCTGACCGCCTGTGGAGATGACTGTAGCCCTGACTGCTGTCTACCTGAGGCACTCCCTGGGTGCTGGTCCTGATTTGTGACGGCCACACGCTCCGTCCGCAGGTGTTATTTCGGCGCTGTGGAGAGTGGGATGTCCGACTGGTGGCTTTATCAGTTACATCGCAGCTGACCACGGCGTTGGGTACCGCGGTAAGTTTGCGACTTCTGTTATGAACATGTCAATTGCCACTACCATTCAAAAGCAATGCTATCCTTCTCATGCGAATACGTTACTGATACAGATACGTGCCTGGACGCGTGATCTGTGCGTTGCTGTCCATTGGCCGTATGATCTCCGGAATGCGCCCTTGTTATCCAGGCACAGTCCGCTGTAGATGGTCCCAGTGTGCGGATGGCCCCATGCTTGGTGCCATTGGTGGCTAGCTTCGCCCGCCGGTAATGTTAGACGTCTAGGACGCGTGCTGTGACCCCGACGGCGGTGGCTTCTTACCCATTCACGGCCGGGTGTGTGCCTGCCCGGCCGCGATCAGTTGAGAGCCGACAGCGACGACGGGAGGGCGGACGGCGCGCGCCGCCCTGGCCCTGCCGCCCGTCCGCGCCGGCGACACCTCTCCCTCCCCCCTCCACCCCCGCCGTCGTGCCCACTTGGCGTCCGGCGCCGCTCAGGCCGGCTCCATCACCGCCTGTGACCATCACCTGGTTTTGTCGGCAGGTTCCTGGTGTGGCGCGACGAGGAGTGGCTGCCTGACTAGTGGCAGGAGCCCAGTGGCAATATGACTAGGTACGTCCCTGGCAGCGTGCCTCGGCCTACGAGTCGGCGTTCGTGTCGGGAGACAGGACAGCGTGGAGACGTGATGCATACCAAGAGCCAATCCAATGACAGCTGTGATTACCAATGATAGGACTGACTGCCACCCTGTTTCCTGTGGACAGCTGTTTGTCCTTGTCGTGCTCACACTCGTTTATCGGCAGCGGACTTCTGGAGAAGACGGCAAGCTGGTCGCGGCGCAGGGATGGGCTCCAGCCGGTGTCTCAGGTGAGTCAAGCTCGATTTGGGGCTCTTGGTTAATTGGAGATGCTATGTGCAAAACAGATGGTCTTTGTGTATTATGGCGTAAGTTATACTCAGTCATGCTGACACCTGTAGGTAACATGATGGCATTGTTGCGCATAATCCAAAACTGCCCAATCACAGTTTTACAGTAAACCTCGTGGTCTGCTTTTCTCTTCAGATGATGATATTTGGCGAACGGGCGGACCGAACAGCCAGCAGGCTTTGTTGAGTGTTCCCTTGCTGATGTCTCCCGTAACCAGCACGCCTGGCGTCATAGAATCCTGTAACTGAAGGCCTGCATGTCTCTCCGCCAGACCTCTGCAAAGCACAATTCTCAGCCGGACTCATCTGCAGAATCTTAAGTGTACACCGTCCACCTCATGCAGCAGGTAAGGCAACTCCCCTGTTGTGCTGCGATTCCGCCGGTCTCAAATGATGACAAGTGTCCTGCAATTTTGACGCACTGTTCTGGGAATGTACCGACGCGGCTGAGCCGTGTGGCGCCGCTCGGGCCGTCGCCTGGCCTGGCGCCCTGCTGACGAGCGACGGCGCTCTGTTACAGGCCGGCGGCGGCGGCGGACGGCGGCACTGAGCTCCAGCGACCGCGGCGGTGAGTGCTCCGCCCGGGCCGGTGGGATGTGTGCTCCGGTGCCCGGCAGGCGTGATGATAACCACTCTTGATCAAACGGTTAGAATATATCGGAATCTAGTGACGATCCTAGGGCGGACTGACATTGTTTCAAGAGATGACGTCTCGAACACCGTGAAATCCTCGTGATGACGGCCGTGATCCTTTGCAGGCAACGAGTTTGTGGCACCAGCGTGTCCCAGTACTACAAGATATTTAAAGGTGGGGCGAGGTGTTTCTTTTTTGTAGGTTAGCAATTTTGTAAACATATGAACTTCTTATGTCCCCATATCTACTTGCATTGAAGCAAATCGTGCAAAACTGATGATTTAGGCTGAATGCGCTGGAGTTAATGATGTAGAACCGATGGTTTCGGCAGAACAGTCCTGTTGATTCACCGACAATGCTGCCTTCCTTCTGACTGCTGTTATCTATTTCGTGATTTCGACAGTCATATTTGTCACACTCAGTCTCCGGATTCCTCCCCACAGGCAGCAGCTGCGATGTAAGTGCTGACAAGAACGCATTCAGTCTGACAGCGCATTCAAGGTGAGACACTGGAGGTGTTTTGAAAGGGCTGAGGGGTCATTAAGTTTTATATTCACACATGATGCATATCTAGAGCCAATCCAATGACCTCTGTGATTACCAATGATAGGACTGATCTCTGCTGCTGATTCTGCTGTACGTGGCGTATCCACAGCCAGTAACAGACGTCTCACTTCTCAGATGTGCAAAGTCGCACCAAAGGACGGCACGGGCTCTCACTTGACCGGCGTAGATTTTGAACACAAAGGTGAGCCCTGCATGTAGCATCTGCATGACGCGTCTGGCATTGTTCTTCGGACACCGTTACTGACCGAAGCTAAACGGACTGGCAGGATGGTGTGCTGCCTGAGTCCATATGCATTAGGACAGAGTTGCCGGTCGGCACTGCTGAGCGTTCCATAACTGACGCGCGTCCCCCCGTCGAAGATGAGCGGTACTCGGCGTTGATTACCTGACCATGCTCTCGCTCTCCGATGATGGTGAAGGACAGATGATAAGTGTCCTGCAATTTTGACGCGCTGTTCTGGGAATGTACCGACGCGGCTGAGATGTGTGGCGCCGCTCGGGCCGTCGCCTGGCCTGGCGCCCTGCTGACGAGCGGCGGCGCCCCGTTACAGGCCGGCGGCGGACGGCGGCGCTGAGCTCCAGCGGCCGTGGCGGTGAGTGCTGCGCCCGGGCCGGTGGGATGTGTGCTCCGGTGCCCGGCAGGCGTGATGATAACCACTCTTGATCAAACGGTTGGAATATATCGGAATCTAGTGACGATCCTAGGGCGGACTGACATTGTTTCAAGAGATGACGTCTCGAACGCTGCCAGATCCTGGTGATGACGGCCGTGATCCTTTGCAGGCAACCAGTTTGTGGCACCAGCGTGGCCCAGGACTACAAGATATTTAAAGGTATGGCGAGCTGTTTCTTTTTTGTTGGTTAGCAATTTTGTAAACATGAATGTCCCATGTCTTCATATCTACCTGCATTGAAGCAAGTATAGCAAAACTGATGATTTAGGCTGAATGCCCTGAAGTAGATGATGTAGAACCGATGGTTTCGGCAGAACAATCTTGTTGATTCACCGACAATGCTGCCTTCCTTCTGACTGCTGTTATCTATTTCGTGATTTCGACAGTCATATTTGTCACACTCAGTCTCCTGATTCTTCCCCACAGGCAGCAGCTGCGATGTCAGTGCTGACAAGAACGCATTCAGTCTGACGGCGCATTCAAGGTGGGACACTAGAGAAGGGCCGAGGGGTCATTAAGTTTTATATTCGTACATGATGCATATCTAGAGCCAATCCAATGACCTCTGTGATTACCAATGATAGGACTGATTCCTGCTGCTGATTCTGCTGTATGTGACGTATCCACAGCCAGTAACAGACGTCTCGCTTCTCAGATGTGCAAAGTCGCACCAACGGACGGCACCGGTTCTCATTTGACCGGCGTGGATTCTGAACACAAAGGTGGGCCCTGCATGTAGCATGTGCATGAGACGCCCGGCATCGTTCTTCGGACACCGTTACTGACCGAGGCTGAATGGACTGACAGGACAGTGTGCTATCTGAGTGCATATGCATTACTGCTAAGGTCCTTGTGCCCTTTTGGAGGTCGTCTTTGACTGCTGCCAGCCTTAACAGCATCTCGTATTGTTACAGGCGTCCTGCCGACGGTGCCGGCTAATTCGTGCCGCCGAGACGAGGTGGGTTGCACGTGCTACCAGAATACGCACCACGTGGTTAGAGTGACCTGTTCCAGCTGACCTGATGATTGAATTGGTTATGAGTATGTGATTGCATCATTTCGCCCCTATCTGAGCGGCGCCGGTAGCCTGGCACCTGCGGTGGCCTGGCGACAGCCTGACGTGTGTCTGCCCTCTCCGCAGGCCTGGCGGGCGGGGCCGGTGACGGAGCGTCCGTCGGCCACTGCCCTCTCCGCAGGCCTGACGGGCGGAGCCGGTGACGGAGCGTCCGTCGGCCACTGCCCTCTCCGCAGGCCTGGCGGGCGGAGCCGGTGACGGGAGCGTCCGTCGGCCACGCCTCAGGTGAGTACCCAGGGGTCAGGTCAGCCGGAAGTCTCGCCGCCGCTCGCGTGATGTCTGTACATGTTAGACTGTTGACCCGCCGGGATGACACGTAACTCTCCGCTGATGGTGGCCGGACCGGACCGGGTGCGGTGTGGTCCCTTGCCGGTCGTGACGCGCGGCTGCCGTTTCAGGTGGTCACTGGTGGCCGAGCCGGTGCGGTCAGGGCGCGGCTGGTCCCGGGTACAGCTGCGGCCTGCCGGACACGGGTCAGTGGGGATCCGTTGTACTGCTATAGGGCCGAAGGGACTTGTTACTTGTCTTCCATCATGCAAATGAGGAAAATTTAAACGTGACCACTCATGATTTTTTCAAAAGGATTCTGATAGCTTCTGTGAAACATAGTTTGTTTTCCTGGTAATGGGGTTGCTGACATACTGTCGTCTTTCAGTCCACGGTGCCCTCTTGACAACTGGGGACGGAAACGTTCGCGAACATTCATCTTAGATGGTAAGAGTCACAACTTTTCCATTTCTGTGAACCAATGCTCATTGGGGCCCTGAAACATCTTGCCATGCTTCAGTAAATCTTGTGAAATGAGGAAAACTATATGGGTGATCAGCCATGATCTTTTCAAAAGGATTCTGACAGGCGCTGGAGAAAAAACACATCCTGGTTGTTTACTGATTGGTTTGTTAACCACTGTGATGATGTTTTCAGGTCCCACGTTTCTGCAGAAGGCCGTCTCGTAGTGAACAGCGAAAGATGTCAGGACATTCAAAAGATTGCCTGGTAAGCTAGCCTCCCAAGCTGTTCCATGACATTTCAAGTCAGATCATCACTTCTTTAAAGAAGTCTATTCATGTCCATTCAAATGATGCTTTTCCAGTCGATCCTTCACTAGCTCGTCGCCGGGCGTTGAATGATATCTACATGTACTCTCTGATACGGTGTTGGCTGGCCGAGGGGGCTGTCGTGGATCCGGTGCAGGACTGACTAGGGCGTCTGCCACAGGCGGACTGGGCTGGCCTTCCGGACCCGGCACTGTGCTGGCGTCACGCACCGAGGTGCCGACCGTCAGTGTCACCAGGTCAGTCGGCGGCAGTTTCGGCAGGTGTGCCACACGCTACAACACTTCACACATTATATTTTCAGGATACTGGTCTTGCCATGTGCAATGCAATCCGCCCTTGTCTAATTTCGAAGTCTTCCGATTGGGTTGGGCTAGGCTGAATTTAAAAAGAAATCCTGCTAATTGCCTGTATGTTCTAGTCTTTAGAATGTAAATGGTGTGCTGCGTATTTGTGCAGCTTTGCTTTGTGACACCAAAGTCGATCAGCATTGTGTTTCATGTTCCAGCTTGAGTGATGATTCCAGCGAACGGGCGGACAGAGTTGCCGGTCGGCACTGCTGAGCGTTCCATAACTGACGCGTGTCCCTCCGTCGAAGATGAGCGGTGCTCGGCGTTCATTACCTGACCATGCTCTCTCCCTCTCCGCTGCAGGTTGTCAGCCCTCCATCTCCAGCTGGCGCAGGTCGACCCCATCTCTCTGTGTGGTGCTGCTCTGAAGGTATGTGGTGCGGTCTGTCGTGGCTGGTGTTGGTCTGGCATCGCCCACGTGGCTTAAGTGATGTTAACATACACCATCGACATGAATGCTGGGAACCTCAAGACGGGACTGATGCCGGCATTCTCGCTGTGCCGCATGTGCTCCCGAGGGCCGCAGTCTGACAACTGTCTGTCTGTTTAAGAGATCCGGTGCGGTGGGGATCTCGGGCCACGCGGGCTCGGCTGAAGCGTGTTGGGTCGCGACATCCGCAGTCAGACAAGGTGAGCTGGGAGTTTGGGTTACATTATTGCAGATGCGGATCACAGGCAGCGAATAGGCCGGTTTGGACGAAGTTCTGCTCTTGACAATGCTCGATGTGTGGATGCCGCTTGGCGGTGTGGCGCGGGTAACGTTAGCAGGGTGTTTTCGGGAACATGATGTTTTCCAGTCGATCCTTCACCAGCCGCCCAGGCGGCCGTGAGTGATAGCTTTTTAAACAGCTGAGATGTTCCTGGCATCCGCGGTTATGTAACGAATGGCTAGTTACTGACGAAGGCTGCGCTTTCAGTGATTTGGTGTGAGGGCGGGCCGTACCTCTGCTGACTGGATGTGGAACTTCAGGAGCCAGTTGAATGGTAAGGTTTGTGTATTGCGCTTTGTGCTCATTGAATCCAGCGGCCGGGCGCATTTGATGCCTGATAATCGTGAAAATTATAAATCCTCGTGAGACTCGTGGTCTAAATTGGCCATGTCACCGCAAATCATTTCTGATGCCGTTACATAGGTAATCTACGAAATCACTTGAGTTTGCTAATACAAGGTGAGTTAAGACAGTTATAAATTGCAGTTATTTCTTTGTCATAATGCACTTGTTTGTGTCATGCGCCTCATTCTTTTTCGCGGCCTTGGGGCGCATGGCTGGTGTCCCTTCTTGTGACGTGATGACAAGTGTCCTGCAATTTCGACCCCTGACTGGGAATACCCTGACGCGTCTGAACCGTGTTAGCGGCGCCAGCTGCTCCCCGCCGGCCGCTGGCTCGCTCTGAGGCCGGTTCCGCTCCTGGTATCCGCAGACTCGTCTTCCGACCGTCCAGTCGCACGGTTGCTGGCCATCCTGTCGTGCCGAGTCTGATGCCGCCCTGGACGGCTGGGTGTGCCAGGTAAGATATCACGGTCAGCCGGCAATGACACTTGGTGTGCTCCTGAAACGCTCGGTGCGTTGTGACCGCGACAGTGTGATGAGAACCTTGATCCATTTTCTGACTGTGCTGTCGGTGCGGGCGGCCGCCGCCCGGCCTCGCAGTGGCGGTGACCTGGCCCATGTCGCCGGGTCAGGTTCTCTGGCCCGCTGACGGGGCCCGGCCGCCGCCGCCGCCCGCCCGACAACTGCAAGATTATGCTCTGGGGCTGACATCCGGTCCGCCTCCGATGTTGGACCTGCAGCACGGGGTGCCTCTGAGCACTGTGTTGTTTTGGCAGGATCAGCGGTGTGGTCGGCGCGCACCGCCTCAGTTTGTGGGTCGCGCCACGGACTGGGCAGCTGTTGGGGTGCTGTGGAGCTGGGGCATTGGAGGTAAGTGACACGCGACGCTTCGGGCCTCAGATGTGATGGCTTCCGCTCACACTACTGTGATGATCAAGTATTTGCTATCTGAGTCTGTTGATTACGATACACTTACCACCAAGATCGCTGAGAAACTTGCCACTTTCGGTGTGGTATTACCACGGGACCAGATCACCATATGTTCTCCATTTGCAGGTGCTGGCCGCAGTCTGCCCCGGTCTCAACCAAAGAGGTCAGTAAACCAGAGCGCCGGCGGCGTGGTTGTTACGTCACCGCCAGAGATGATGATTGAATAATGGTTATGACATATTTGATTGCATCATTTCGCCCCTATCTGACTGCGCCGCCGCCCGACGGCGTGCGGGCACATCACTGCCAGTTCGTGACCTCTGTCGTGTGGTCCTCAGCGGAGAGGGCCGCGCCGCCCTGGGCCACCGCCTGGCGCGCGCTTCTGGGTCCTCTGTCGTCGCCATCGCCCTCCGGACCAGGTCAGTCGCCGCTCACTCACGCGAGCCCCGGTCACTCGTCCTGCGCCGCGCACGTGATGTCTTTACATGTTAGACTGTTGACTTCTCGGATGAGACAAATCTTCAGCTGATGCCCCACCCGTTTACGGCTATGGCGGGCCGCCACTGCGGGGCCGCCGTCAGCTTACTGTCCCTGTCGTCAGGTGGCGGGAGGAGCGGTCCCGGGCCGGCGCCGTCCTGTCCTTACAGCCTCGCCGGTGAGCCAGGTGAGGCGTCCGGCCCTCTGCCGCGACCGGTCCCCCGCCCATGACATGAGGAAAATACCGATATTGACACAGAATGATTCTTTCAAAAGGATTCTGAGAACGCCTGGTGTACAGCTGGGCCGCTGCTCCGCCCGGTGCATGGATTAACGTTCGGTGTCTGCGTTCCCGGCTGTAGCAGGCTGGTGCCGCCCCCGAGCTGGCGGGAGGCGCCTGGCTGGCAGCCGGCCCGGGAGAGGCGGCCACTGCTCCACTCAGCACCCCGTCGGCAGACCCGGCGCCCGGGGGGCGAGCGTGGGCCGGCGGCTGTCGTCTGCCCGGTCGATCCTCCGCCAGGCGAACGTGAGTGGTAGCTAGGTCACTCAGCTGATGCACTGCTCTCCCTGCTCTCCCATCTGCGTTGCTGCGCTCTGCTTATCAGCCGTTGACATATTACGGTCCCCTTCGAAGAGCGAATATGCTGTCCGGTCTGGTAGCCGTTTGTTAAACTAGTTGAGCTGTGTGGACTTTTGCGCCTGGCCGTAATTGCAGTACTAAAGGAATACACTTCGTGATGATACTAAGCGAACGGGCGGACATAAACGCCGACAGGCTTTGCTGACTGTTCCTATGCTGATTTATGCCTGGTTAGCTGCCAGATAATTAGCCACTAAGTGTATTCTGACCCATCAGTACTGTTTTCCAGGCTGCCTTTGGGAATTCGCCAGAAAGTGAACCCTCGATGGTCTTAACTGCGAAAAAACGAAGGGGTATGTATCGGACCAACATATCACCCTCCACCTGACTGTGACCGCGACAGTGTGATGAGAACCTTGATCCATTTTCTGACTGTGCTGTCGGTGCGGGCGGCCGCCGCCCGGCCTCGCAGTGGCGGTGACCTGGCCCATGTCGCCGGGTCAGGTTCTCTGGCCCGCTGACGGGGCCCGGCCGCCGCCGCCGCCCGCCCGACAACTGCGGGATTATGCTCTGGGGCTGACTACCGATAATGTTCGCTGGTGGACTGTTCAAGCAGCATAGGGCCTAATGGCGTTTTGTTTCTGTTTCAGTCTGGCATGACAATGCAGCTGTGAAATAATTCCTGACCGGAGGATGTGATGGCCCTTGACGTCGAGGAGGTGCGTGCTGTGCGGCCGCGACACCACACATCTGTGGCACATCCTGGCGCGCCTACTCTCTTGTCTCGTGATGATTGAATCGGTTATGACAGCGCGTGATTGCATTATTTCGCCCCTATCTGAGTCTGGTTGCCAGCTGGCCCCGGCGCCACCCTCCCGGGCGCGCTCGCCTGACTCCGGCTCCCTGCGCCGCCAGGCAGCTCCTGAGCATCGGCGGCACGGTTTCCGGTCGCCGGCCGACCGCCCCGCCCCCGCGCTGCCGGTGTTGCTCGGGGTAAGGAGAGGCGCATTGGCTGCCGCGAACGAGATGGGGAACGTCGAAATGCTAGCGGTGGTCCCGGAACACGTCATGCCAGTCCGTCTGCCGCGAGGGTGCCCGCGTTGGTGATGAAAGTTACACGTACTCACTGCTGATTCCCGTGATTATCTGGATTCACGCCTGATAGCGCGCGTTGCCTGGCGGCGTTGCGCTGGCTGGCTCCGGGACTGACGAGCCGTGTGGTGTCTCGTCCGCCAGGGGGTCCGGCATCTTGGCTGCGTGGGTGGCGTACCACCCGCAGTCAACTGGACGCGGACGGCATGCCTGGTGAGAACCGGCCAGTGTTTTGCGTGGGAAGGCGTTTTGTTGTGTTTGTAAGGTTTCGTCCGTGCGTTTCCGTTCGGTGTGCGCGATAGTTTCATGCCACGGAGCAATTCTTTAGTGGTATAACTAGCTCACCTCGCTTTATGGGCAGGTTTTTGTGGGACATTTTGCCCCATCTCACTTGCATCATTGGACACGAGAAGTGATGAAGCCTATCAATCCTGTACTACCGTGACAGTATCAAGCTCAACAGGTCTGAAACACGACTCGGACGTCTATTTTAACCGTGTCGCTGGCCTGGTTGGTGACTTGTGGCCTGCTTGCAGTGCTGGCTGCCTGCACTGCCAGAGACCCTGGTGACTGGGTTGGATAGTGACCAGGTGAGCTCAGCTTTTGTGCATATTGCTTCACTGACTTCAGTTCAGCTGCAAGATTGTGTCGTTTCGGGCGGTCCATGTGTAATTGTAACTCAAACCTTTGACAACTGGAAGTCGCATATTTGTATTGCGTCACTTGGTTGGTTGGTCTCGTCGAACGTTATGAATTATCACGTTGCCCCATGATTATCTCTGATCTCTCCTCCCCTCCCTCCTTCCATTTCCGTCGCGCAATACTTTCGTTTTCGTGATGAAACCCAAGCGTACTCACAGATGAGCCCGTGATTATCTGGATTCACGCCTGAGCTCCTGCCGGCTCACGGCAGCACGTTCGTCTCGGCCATGCTCACAGCCGCGTGGTTTTCTCCGTGTTTTCAGGTCGAGCTCCTGGCCGAGCTGGGCAGCGGCCTCTGCTGCGTCTGCTACCGTCTACAGCGCTACTACCATGGTAAGAATACGGGACGTGTGGTGCGGTCCATGCTGTCCGATCCTTCTGAAACCGATGTTTGGCATAGTCATCCTAGGTGGATGGTACGCCGTCCTGTGTTTGCCTCTGATGTAACCGACGCAGGTCTTTCCTCTGCGCCACCTGTACAGTATTCAGCTGAGCAGACCCGAATCGGGGCGCGGTGTTGCGGGGCCGCCTCTGACCGAGTCGCTCCGTCTCCACAGGTCCGTCCGCTGGCGTGTCGCAGCCGAGGGACGGCGCTCGCCGAGTCCAGGTGAGGCCTAGCAGACTGCCGGCGGCCTGGCCTCCGGTGGCATGGACGGGGGCCACAGCAGCGGGCTCGTCCAGCGCGTTAGGTCATAGACTTGCAACTTCGCGGCTACGCCAGGCGGCCACGTGGAAGTTGATAGTGTTGGACGCTGGCCGTGAATATCGTGTGCGCGCCACCCTTGCGGTTCTCTGGTATGATGAACACACACCTCTCTGTACTACCGTGACAGTATCAAGCTCAACAGGTCTGATGCGACGTCTTAAAGCTCCGTCGACAGAGAATTTTCGAGCGACCTTCTCACGCAGATCGTCTCCCATGCTCCAGGTGCTGGGAGCTGGGCGCCCAAGGCTGGCTGCGGCAGCAGCGACCTTCCCGCGGCTCGAGTCATCGCGATGTGGAGTCCGGCAGCATCTGGGAGTCAAGGACACCCGCGTTGCGTTTGGCGTAATAGGTCGGCCGTGCGGATGGCCGTGATAGTTCTAACGGTTTACGGGTGAGATCGGAAGCATCCGATCTGTATCGATCCGTGGAGTGGTCGGCGTGTCGGCGTCAGCGCCGCCTGCTGTGGTCCCCGTGGCCCGTGGTGCACAGCGCGTGGTTGGTGTGCACCTTATTCCACGTTGTCCTAAATAAAGCAGATGCGTATTTCCTTGTTTACGGGAGGAGAGCGGAGGGAGGCTCTCTCTCTCCCCCTCTCGCCGTCCGGATGGCAGGCCGAGGGCTCCGGACTGAATGGCTCAGCCAGGATCAGCATCCAGCACAGGGTCCTGACATTGGAACAGTCCGATTGGGGCTGTAAGTGTATAAGCTGTAAGTGTATGTTTGAATTTCGTAGCATTGGGGGAAAGCTAAGGCAAGTTTTAAGGCTCCGCGTGCTCATTACGTTACAACACGGGTCCAACAATGAAGGCGCGGCAAATAACGTACTCGTATTTGGAAAAAAACCGAACGGTCCTTATGAACAGCACCTATGCGACGCCGCGAGCGCTTGAGCGCCGCAGTCGAACCTGCAAGGGTCGCCCGACACGGGATATATTCTGACAAGGCGCCCGTGGCATATACAGTAGCGCCACCGTCCTGAACGAATGTTTGCGCTGGGTGCCAAGCCACGCCGACACCTCGGGTAATCACCTAGCGGATACTGTAACAAAACTTAAGGTGCAGGGCTGTCAGCATGTATCGGGGACTCGGACGGCCTCCGCGACAGATCACCACTGCGTCATCCCCGGCGTCGTACAAGGCAAGGCGTTTTCCGAGCTTTCAAGGTGGAGCTCAGCGACTTGAGATCGGCAGCCAAAATGGACGCACACTGATGCTTCGTGTACGAACGTGGCAGCACGACCGATAAGGAGACAGGATCCTAAGCCGCTTCCGGATTTGTCGCATGCGGCGCCGCATGGTTACAGCTAGGGAAATTTCCTTGTTTACGGGAAATCAGTTAAGACCTGTGGACCTGATATAGACCTATATCCGGGGAAAATTCACGTCTCCGAATGTAATTCCTTTCATTTGTATTTTCACAAATCCAAGCTACCTTCCAGAAAGGGTGATATCGCTATCGGAGGAGGTTCTTGTTCCGTTTTGACACGGCGCCGACGCTTTGCCGCGCGCTCGTCTCCCGCCGCGGGCTCAGGCTTGAGCGTATGGGGTATGCCGGCCCGGAAGGCTCTGATTCACTGAGCCCGGTCTCGCCATGCATCAAGCGTGTCACCAGATTGCTTCGCATTGTCAGATTTCCTCCATGTTGTTTTAATGCGAATTGTTGTTTTCGTTTCGTGTTTGGTGTGGAAAATCCACTATGTGGTGCGCATCTTGGTGTGGGTGAGCGGACGCTCGTGTGCTCAGGTCCCCTTCGTAGAAATTACTGTGAATGCGTACTTTTCCAACCGCAATATGCACACATCAAACAGCATCTTGTTTTCCGGGCCCTACCATGCTTTAGCCGTACGAAAGTAATCACATTCCGTTCGGTGGACGTTCCATTTTAGTAACAAGCCATCACACATAATTTTTGTAAACGCCCAAAATAGCGTAATATCGCAGCGTGACCAAGGCCCGTGACACATGTCCCAAGTCGAAGTTTACTACGTATAACAGATGTAAACGCGTGCTAAAACATCTTGTGCTGTATTTCCTCACATCACATCTTCAACGAAGACAATAATAGTCACAGTAGGCTAACATAAGGACACTGAATCAACGCGATACGGCTGACACAATTTGAGAATAAAATCTGCGCACGTGGCTAAAATGAAGGCTTTGGTTTGTGGCGAGCTGGGTGCGCGCGCGCGCGCGTGGCGGCGTCTCTACGGCTCGGGCGGTGGCCGAGTGCCAGCACTGGCCGCCCTCACGTAGTTCACGTAATGATGGAAGAGATCGCTGAAGTCGGCCCACTGGCGAACGACGAAGACAATTACCACAATGAGAAGCAACGTCGACAGCGTTCTCACCCTGAAACGAGAACGGCCGCGCGGTCAGACGCGATCGTCGCAGACCACACCCGACGAGAACTCGGCGAGCGGCTTACTCAGCCTCGAGCGTAGACAGCGATAGCGGCCGCTCAGAGCAGGAGAGGCGAGCCGCCGGCCGAGGAGTCCCCACGCCAGCCGGGAGACAAGCGAGCTCGCGCTGCCGAGGCAACCCGCGGAAGGCCAGGCCGGGGATGGGCAGTGCGGACGGCGGAAGCCGACCACATGCCACTCAGCGGTGTGCCGCTGGTTTCTCCGGAATCTTGATACACATGGCGGTGCCGCTGCACTGGCGCGACAGCAGGCAACAACGGTACCCGGCACTCGCCAGTCCAGAACACTACAACAGCCGACCATCCAGTCCTCGGCGCGCGCGTCTGACCGGCGGCCCACCACCGCTCACCTGGTGCGAAGGAACGGCATGGTGATGTTGGCCAGCGTGGCCACGATCAGCAGCACCACCTGTAGCACGGTCAGCACGATGTTGACCAGCTTGACGACCAAAGCACGCGCCTGCGAGTTGCCGATCACCTCCAAGTTGACCAGCTGCTGGTGCTCCACCTGCTGGTGCTCCATCCGCGATATCTGCGCAGTGGAGGAGCGTATCAGAGTTTGACGGCGTGCGGCACTGACAAGCGCGGCTGAGACGGCCGGCAGCTGTCCAGGGCAGAGGCTGCCCGGCGGTGTGACGGTGCCGCCCTGACCAGCCGCGGTCCAGCCACGGCACCGGCTGACAGATCCGCCGCTGGTCCCAGGCAGCTCCGAGGCAGAGGCTGCCCGGCGGTGTGCCAGGGCCCCCATGACCAGCCGTGGTCCAGCCACAGGCACCGGCTGACAGATCCACCGCTGGTCCCACGACCGTGGCCTGACGGGCGGTGACGGACCGCGACGGACTCTCATGAGGCCCTGCGCTATGAGCCGGGACGCGACCACTCACCCGAGTATTACACTTGTCCATCATCTCGTGAATGTCTCTGACGCGCTCCTCGCTCTGGTACTGGACCTTCTCTTCCATGTCATGCATGTGCTGGCGCAGATTCTCCACCTGGGCGCACGGACGGTGCGGTACGGTTAGTTACACATCCCAGCTACACAGGGATCCCCAGCGCCAACAGATATCCCACCGACAGCAATGTACTTAACCGACGTAGTGCAACTACGCCACATGCATCTCAACAGACCCAAGCGATCATCCACAGAGCACACCATGGTGATCACTGACTGGATCTCGATCGCGAAAGCGCTCTACTAGCTCCTCCCACGCTTCGCACAGCACGACTTCCCATCGCGCCGTTGACGGGCGCTCCCGATCGCATCGGACGGCCGCGTCACCTCGTTCTGGTGCAGCTCGATGAAGTCGTTCATCTGCTGCTCGAGCCGGTCGTAGCGGAAGCGCTCCTCCTGAAGCGCCTGCGAGAGCAGCGTGATCTCCTGCTGCAGCGTCGCCTTGATCGTGTCCACGTCGTCGCGCAGCCGGTCGCACTCCTCCTTGCGCTCGAGCAGCTCAGAGAGGAGGAGGCGCGCCGTCGGTGGTTGGCGGCAGCGCCGGCCGACGACACGCTGGCCTGGTGCCGCGGAGAGGTGGTGGCCAGGGCACCGGGCTCGCTCGCCGCGCTGCTCAGGTCGCTCCCCTCGTCAGAGCGCAGCTGACCTGCCGGTGGGGGGGGGGGGCTCAGTGGCGCCACCCGGGAGGGGGGACAATCCCGACCTGAGGGTCTCACAAACGAGACCGCGCGATGGAGACGGACACCGAGGACGACCCAGCAGGCATCGGGTTGTCATTCACAGAGCAGGCCTGACCGGTCCGGAATGACGTGACCGCGAGAGAAAACCTGACTACGCCGTCAGGTGGGAGACAAGACCGGCCGCCGGTCTTCACTGAGAAGCGACGCCGACGGCCGGTGCAGCGACGCCGGCGACTCACCGACGCTGGTGTTGCCGCTGACGGCTGACGAGGGGATGCCCGGCGGCAGGGTGGAGCTGCCGTGGTGGCTGCGCGTGGGTGTGCCCTCCGACGAGTCGTCTGTGGAGGGTGGCGACCCCGCGTCAGCGGCCGCTGCAACGCCAGGCAGGCTAGCGCCGCACACTGACGCACATAACTGACAGTGGGCTGACAATGAGCGGCGAGAGGACAGTCAACTTCATCCAAAACACCGCCCGTCGCCTATGACTACCAGCAAACGTTGGAGAAGGCCTGCTTGGTCGATTAGTATTCCAACGTAACACGTTCAAGTGCGGAAAATACCGAATTATATTATTTTTTATATACTTACACACCCTCACACCTGAGTATTATTAGATACTTCACACCCTGCAAAAAATCATGGTCAAATGAAGGATGTCTCATGTTGCCATGGCTAGCGGCTGCACCGAGTTGTCACTAGTGATTCCCGTTAAACCCGCTACGTTCACTCACTAGTGAGGGCCGTGATGTTGTCGGCACTGCCGAACCTGTTCTTCAGCAGGTGAGCAATTTCGCGAGGCTTGGACATCACCGTCCTGAGGGGCGCAGATGGGGTCAGCAGGTCAGACGACACCAAGTCCAGGTCATCGAAGCACACCACCGCACGGCGTCACTGACGCGAAATGTACACCGCCGTAGGCGGTGACCGCACCAACCAACGCTCCGCGCGCAGAGACAACACGCGAAATCCAGCGCCGACAGTGTGCAAACAGCAGCGAGTAAACTACCGCTTCTCTAGCTGAGGTTTACATAAGTGCACTGACAATACACAGAGCGCCGGGCGGCCGCGTCGCTTCTCACACACCCCGGCGGGCACGGCACAGCACACACAAACACCGCCGCGCTCCTCTGAGCCGCCTCCGCCGACCAGGTGTGCGGCACGACGGCCCACGCCCCCGCCCCGTCCCTCGCGGCGGTCGCCGGCACATGCGCGGCCGGGCGGCGCTCGGTGGCGGCGGCGGCGGCGACCGGCTGGGGGGTGCGCCGGCGGACGTGCCGGCGCACAATAGCGCGCCGGCGTGTCGGGCGGACGCGCCGGCGACCGACACACACGTGCCCACAGGCCGACAGGGGTACCGACCCAGGGGTGACGCCGAGATGCTATCGACTCTCGCACGTGCAAGTCGTGGCGGCACGGCGCCCAGATGGGGATATTTCACATCGGAGCACGTGCCACATGTGTAACGCAACAGCGCAGCGTGGTAACCACAGACGGGACGCTTCAACTGATTCGTGGCGTATCCGACACAATATCATAGATTCAGACTTTCAGACGAGTATGCTCCTGGCACACTCGAAAGTCACGCACGAGAGCCTTGACAGAATTTGAAGTGTTTCTAGATGGAACGCCACGTGAGACAATGGCAAGCGTTTGTTTGTTGTCGACCATCCCAACAACGGCACGGGATGGCGGTGCACGAGGCGCTTGCTGGGCACTCCGCCGGCACCACATATGTGCAGCTGATCAACACAGGTGAACACCAGCTGACCCTGACTGGGGACCCGGACTGGACTGGGACCGGGACTGGGACCAGGACGGGACTGGAACTGGGACTGGGACTGGGACTGGGACTGGGACTGGGACTGGGACTGGGATCGGGTCTGGGACTGGGACTGTGACTGTGACTGTGACTGTGACTGTGGCTGGGGCTGGAGCTGAGGCTGGGACTCGGAACGTCCACCGTTATCACCGTCACCACCCGGACACACCAGCTGGCATCGGCACTTACTCCGCCGCTCCCTGGATACCGCCCTTCATGTTGCCCACCACGGCCCTGCAGGACAGACAGGACGCTTAGAACACAGTGTGACCACCGCCCGGGCGCGGTCAGCGCGGTGATGTACGGTCCCGCGCGGTGCGCGTCCCGCCTGCACCCGGTGCCTCCGGCGCCACTGGTGACAGCGATGGCACTACGGCTAGCGAACCTGACGTGAACGCTTGATATTGATGCTAATGCAACGGGCCACATGCTTGTCTCTTCTTCCACACACCGCAGAGCGTAGCCTAGCAACGGCTTCAGCGTCACACATCAGCGCGAGAACAGACATCTAAATACATCGCAACACAATCGACAACAGAGAAGCGCGGGACCTGTGCGAGCCGTGTACGCTCCTTCGGGAGATATGTGGCCATTGTCCATTGGACCGCCCAACATGAAGAGGCCACTCCCGGCCACGCACGCAAATGAGAAAATACATGAAATCTAAATGAGAGGCCTTCAGGGGGGTGGGGGGGGCTGGAGCGAGGAGCCTACAAAGGGAGCGGAAGCAAGAGCCAATAAAGCGAGCGGGAGCGAGGGCCACAGAGGGAGCGAGCTAAATACGAGCGTTAAAGCTACAAAGTCAACATCACTGGTTGTCGCCAGGGGTGTCCGCCGGCCCACGGGAAGGACGAACGACAGCCGCATACGTACCCGGAAAGGCCGGTGATGCCGTGCCGAATGTTTCCGCCCACGTTCCTGGAACAGAGCGCCACTCTCAGCACCGGCGGCCAGACAAGCAACCGCACGTCTGCCGGCGCCCACCGCGCCAGCCGCTCCACACCCACGGAGCACGGCCGACGGTCGCTCACAGCGCCGCGCGGTCCTCTCGCGCTCACGCAGCGGCGTTCCACCCCCACACCGCAGCCGGCGGCGATCTCGGCGGAGCGCCGGCCGCGGCCCGACTACCGGCTATGCCCTGCAGCCGGAACCGGTGCCGGACGCCGGCCGCGCCATGCGCCGACGTCATCCGGTCAACACGGTCCGGCCGGACGGAGACGAACCCCGCCCTCCCGCCGCCGGCCCGTCACGATCCGCCCGTCAGAGGAGTGGCGGCGGCCAGGGCACGACCGCGGAGGGCAGGGCACGCTCCACCGTCAGGG